GGGGGGGGGGGGTTAGGTATGGAGAAGGCATATAGGAGTTGGGGGGTTAGGTATAGAGGCGGGATATAGGAGTTGGAGGGTTAGGTATGGATGAGGAGTATAGGAGTTGGGGAGGTTTAGGAATGGAGGAGAGGTATAGGATTTGGGGGCTAGGTATGGAAGAGTGGTATGGGAGTTGGGGGGGTTAGGTATGGAGGAGGGGTATAGCAGTTGGGGAGTTGTGTACGGAGAAGAGGTATGGGAGTTGGTGGGTTAGGTACAGATGAGGAGGGGTATAGGAGTTGGTGGAGTAGGTACAGAGGACGGGTATCCTCTGTGAGAGGGAAGGCTTTGGGTTTTTAGAGCACTGGGCTGACTTTTCATTGGGGTACAACCTATATGCTAAAGATGGTCTGCACCTAAATGGAATGCTGTGCTAGGGGAGAGGTTCATGGGAGGGTTGAAGGATTATTTCAACTAGGATTGGGGGGAGGGAAAGTGGGAGTATAATGGGGCAGATACGTCAGACTATAATGGAGGGTGGAATAGGGGAAGATGGGGATTCAAAGTGGATAAGGAGATTCTCATGTTGCAAACAAACATTGGAGATGATAGTACTAATTGTACTACAAAAAAAGATACAGCTATTGCAAACGAAAAATGTAAAAATGGCTTGAATTGTTTGTTTGCCAATGCCAGATATCTGCACAGCAAAATGGGAGAATTGGAAAAATCAGGTCTTAGCATTGAGGCCCCTTACAAGATAACAAGAGTTGGTAACTGGGGACAAAGAGAATGCAAATCTATTAAATATTTTCTTCAGCTCTGCACACACCATGGAACAGGATGTAACTCAAGTCCGTAATGGGGATAGCAGCGCCATAACCTCTAATGAACCACAATGGCTGACTATTTATATAGTTCAGAAACAGACAACATTATGGTGAACAAAGCACCTGGACCAGATGGCTTACACCCACGTGTCCTCACAGAATTGGGCTGTATAATTTCAAAGCCATTGTACCAAATTTTTAGAGAATCTCTAATGACTGGCTTGGTACTGATGGATTGGCGCAAGGCCAATGTGGTGCCTATATATTTAAAAAGGGATCAATATCATTACCAAGTAATTACAGACCTGTAAGTTTAACTTTAATAGTTGGCAAGATACTTTAAAGTTTGATCAAGGATCCCATGCAATTGTTTTTGCTTGAAAATAATATTATAAGCGATAGTCAGCACGGTTTCACAAAAGACAGAAGTTGTCAAACAAACCTACTTTCCTTTTATGAGGAAGTGAGTAATAAATTGGACAGAGGAATGGCTGTGGATATAGTATACTTGGACTTTGCAAAAGCGTTTGGCACAGTTCCCCAAATGCGGCTAATGAATAAGTTAAGGTCAGTAGGTATAGAGTATTCAATCTGTAATTGGATAGAAAACTGGCTTAAGGACCGTAATCAGAGAGTGGTGATCAATGATTCATACTCTGTGAATGGTCCGAGGTTGTTAGTGGTGTCCCCCAAGGTTCAGTGTTGGGCCCCTTACTGTAATCTCTTTATAAATAATATAGAATTGGGGATTAGAAGTACAATTTCTGTGTTTGCAGATGATACCAAGCTATGTAGTGAAATATAGTTCCTACAGGATGTCTCCAACTTACAAGCAGATCTGAATGCACTGTGTGATTGGGCATCTATTTGGCAAATGAGATTTAATATTGATAAATGTAAACTTATGCACTTGGGGACTAAAAACATGCATGTGTCATACACTCTAGGGCAGGGTCGGCCACAATTTTTCGTCTGAAAATCTGCTTTTCAAATGACGAGCTCAATGAGATCTACCAACGAAAAAACACCTGCATCCAGGGGCATTAGGGAGCGTAGCGGTGCATTGAAGCCCAATGGCACCGCAGCCAGGCACAGCAGGCAGGCCCCTCGCCCACAGTGCGATCGCCTGCACCTGGAACCCAGGCACATTAGTGCCTGCGTTCCAGCCCAGTGCGATCCGCAAAAATGCTGCAAGCATTATTTTTGCAGATCGCACTGGACCGGAATGCAGGCACTAATGTACCTGCGTTCCGGATGCGGGCGATCGCACTGTGGGAGGGGGGCATGGCTGCGGTGCCATTGACTTCAATAAAACCCCACACCCCTTCCCGCCGGGAGTCGGCCGGCTTACATTCCAGTGCATCTAGAGGCCCCGGCGTCCTGTCCTCCCGTGGTGCTCGTATGGCCGACGTTGCACATGGGGAGAGGTGTCCTGCCCCTTTCCATCTGCAGCGTCTGACACATTCAGCTGGCCGCCGCACGAGCACCGCGGGAGCATAGCTGTAGCCAGCTCCTTTTGCGCCCGAGGCAAGAAAAAAAACGCCCCCCCCAACAGGCGTGGGATGTCACCCAGCGCCATGCCTCTCGGATTTTCTTTTTCTTTTTTACTATTTTTTATTTTATTTGTATTTCTTTTTTAATCTATATAATTAAAACATTTTTTTTATTTTTTTTTTACTCTTGGGGGGCTTTGGGGAAATATTAGGGGTCTAAACAGCCCCCTGATATTTCCCTTTTAAAATAGAAAAAGAAATTGAGGACACAATCCTCAATCTTCTAGAGGTCCCGGCGTCCTGTCCTCCCGTGGTGCTCGTATGGCCGACGTTGCACATGGGGAGAGGTGTCCTGCCCCTTTCCATCTGCAGCGTCTGACACATTCAGCTGGCCGCCGCACGAGCACCGCGGGAGCATAGCTGTAGCCAGCTCCTTTTGCGCCCGAGGCAAGAAAAAAAACGCCCCCCCCAACAGGCGTGGGATGTCACCCAGCGCCATGCCTCTCGGATTTTCTTTTTCTTTTTTACTATTTTTTATTTTATTTGTATTTCTTTTTTAATCTATATAATTAAAACATTTTTTTTATTTTTTTTTTACTCTTGGGGGGCTTTGGGGAAATATTAGGGGTCTAAACAGCCCCCTGATATTTCCCTTTTAAAATAGAAAAAGAAATTGAGGACACAAAGTCCTCAATCTCTTTTTCTGCAGCCTCTATTCTAAGTGAATGGAAAGCACAGAGGCTTCCCATTCATTCAGAAAATATTTTACTATCATCCAGTTTCTGAATGGGGAGGAGCCTCTGTACAGAGTGATTCTCCCCATTCAGAAACTCATGAATGACCAGGAAGTGATGTAAATCACATCCTGTTCATTCATAACTGGGGACACATAGTACTATGTGTCCCCAGTTATTTACAAACACTGGAGTGATCAGCTGATCGCTCCAGTGTTTGTCCTGCTCAGAGGATTGGTACATATCAGTGATATGTACCGATCCTCTGCCGCTCGGCCACGCACACGGGGGCTCAGCTTCTCCTCTGGATCCCCCATGCTCTCCCGGGGAGAGGCAGCAGGGGATCCGACAAGAAGTGAAAGAAGCACTTCAGCAGTCGAGGACGGAGCCGCTGTCACAGAACTAAGGCCGATCGGTGAGGAGAGAGAGGCGCCGGCTGTCGGATCCTGGCCGAGCGTCTCTCTCTCCTCACCGCTCGGCATTAGTTCTGTGATCGCCGGCTGCAGTGGTTACTTCACTTTTTCTCGGATCCCCGCTGCATACAGATGAAGCCCCACGGGCAGGTGGAGAGAGGACATCGTGATCTACCAGTGATCGTGGATCGCGATCGACCTTATGGGCACCCCTGCTCTATGGGGAGTATGTTTGGGGGAGTCAATGATGGAGAAAGATCTAGGTGTTCTGGCAGACCATAGACTCAATAATAGCATGTTATGTCAAGACACAGTTCAGTTTTGGGCAGCGGTTCACAAAACAGATGTTGTGGAACTAGAGAGAGTGCAGAGAAGGGCGACTAAACTCATAAGAGGCACGGAGGAGCTCAGATATGAGGAAAGATTAGCTGAACTAAATTTGTTCTTCCTGGAGAAGAGGTGATTAAGGGGGATATGATCACAAATGGTCCATTTAGTGAGCTTGTTGCCAAATTATTCACTTTTAACCTTTGCATACGGAAAAGGATTCTTCACAGTTAGAGCTGTGAAAATGTGGAATAGACTCCCCCAGGAGCTAGTTCTAGCTAGCTCAGTTAACTGTTTAAAAAAAACTCGATGTATTCCTAAACGCACAGAATATTATTTGATATTGAGTTCTTATAGGTATATTAAACACCAGAGATTGTTGATCCAGGTAACATCCAATCGCCTTATGGGATCAGGAAGGAATTTTTTCCCCTGTTGGAGCAAATTGAACTATGCTTAACAGGGTTTTTTTTCCTTCCTCAGGATCAACAGTGGGTAACTGTGGGCATAGCCCTCTTGAACTCGATGAAATATATATATACAGTCTGTATGTATATTTGTA